TCGCGTAGGGTGCCATCAGACAATTTCAGCCAACCTGCCCTGAAAAACCTTCCTTCAAATTGATCTATGTGCATCCGAGCTTTTATTGCTCCTATTGCTCAAAACTTTACAGAAGTTTTCTGGGCACATGTTTTGCCATTGGTTAGAGGGGTTATGCCTTGTGCCTCCAGGTGTGTACACAGTGGCCTTTCATTGTAAGTTGTACGACGTCGTCAATGACTGTCAGGAAAAAGAGCAAGCTGGAAATGCCGACCCAGCAGAGGCAACCATTTGTCGTTGAGTGGTCAATGCAGATGTCATCGACCACATACGATGGTTGCCTTTACTTCTAGAACCACCAAACAGATCCGGTTTTCCCAAGCCTTGCGGGTGCAGACAGTTGACCGTCAAATAGGACTTTTGATTCGTTTTGGGTGAGATGCGCTTGACAGCGAGGCTGAAAGACTAAAAGCGCGCTTGTCTGAGCTTGAAGCCAAGCTGGAGGCAAGGTTTTGGAAGACATCCGAGCCATCCGAGTATGCTTCGAGCAGAGTAGCGTTCTAGCAGATCCAAACTTTTTTGGTCAAGCTCTTCTGCACAAGAATAAAAGCTCATTGCACATATGTATATAATATATACTGTATATATATATATATTTATAAATATATATATATATTTATGTATATTATGTAAACCAGCTGGCTCGCTGTGCTTGAAACCTTTGCCTTCTTTTCAAAGTGATAGATTGATCTATTTGGATGTTTTGTGCACTTGTGTGCTGAATGAAGGCTTCCAAGCAGAAGCGTTTCTAGTGAGACCTAGTTCTTTTCAAGGTAGCAGCTACAGCATATATAATATATGCTGTAGCTGCTACCTTTAAAAACACTAGGTCTCACTTTCTTGGATTTCATTGGCAAAATTGGCTATTTTGGGACTACATTGACTTTGGTCGAATGGTCATCCCAACACAGGTGGGATTTTGTGAGATCTCTCTGATGGCCAGGAGGTTCAGCGAGGACATGATCCAGCCGAGGACGGCTGCAAAAGGTGTTTTCAACGCAGTTGTCAGAGATTCTCTTTGGAGGCCTTCTTGTATGGAGCCCTTCTTGTTTGTGCAGTCTTTTTTAGGCAGAAAGACTGAAAGCTCACTCGTTTGAGCTTGAAGCGAAGCTGGAGGCATTCTCGAAGCATTGGGATTTTTCCTGACTTTTGTCAACAAATATCTTGACCCAGTTTCAGGGTCTCTGCATGTGTTTCCCGACATTCAAGATGTGGATGTCCCTATTTGCTGATATCAAGATGTGAAGATTCAACATGCCACACTGGTTGTTGTTGGAGTGTATATCGTTATTTTTTTAGTTATTTTTTTTTCCAGCATGCAGGGCCTTCCTGAAACATGCACCAAAAAACGTTTCAATCTATGCTGAAACTCAGGCTCTTGCTGTTATTGACAGGACATGTCTACAGTCTATAGTCTATGAGTAAATGGCCTGGGGGCATCCCAGCGTTTTTTCCGGATTTCTTCCTTCAGACTTTCGGGGCTGGGCTTGCGCCGCTTTCCCAGGCTGCCGAAGCCCGTTGGGCCGCCGAAGGTCGTGCGGATCCGGGGCGGTCGGAGGGTGAGATGGTGAGGGTTCCTTGACGCTTCTCTTTTGGGGTCTGAATGAGAAGAACAACAGGTCAACAACAGGTCAACAGTTCAGCGGGTTGTTTTGTAAATAGTGATACTGGATTATCCTGAGTGATCGTCCATTAGATCGCTAGTAGTAACAAGAAGCTACTAGTAGCTCCTGGCCTTACTACTAGTAGCAAATTAGCTACTAGTAGCGATGCACCTGTTCTGAGTAGCGAATCACCTTGCTATGAGTAGCTTCTTGTTACTAGTAGCTGTACCTGAAACCTGGCTTAGAGACCGTTGCTACCTCATTCCTAACCCTCTCCAGGTGCCGCTGCCGTGGAAGGGTCTCAACGAATAGAGGATGCACTTGTAGTAGTGTGGGGCTGAGGGGGCCTTTCAAAGTCGAGCATGCTTGATGCTTGGGAATGTCTCTGAATAAACTTCATGGTCTTTTTTCTTGTTTCTAGAAACCATGGAATGGGTCGTGCACTTCCTGCGACTCGTGAGGTCTCTGAAGTCCGGGAGCTCTGCAATCGCACCTACCAAGTCCTCGAGGACAGTCCAGGCCGGGCTGTGCGCCCACCTTGGTTGGGCGGTTCTCGGCCCCCGCACCCGCAAGGTGAGCGGTCGAAATGGGCATTTAGTTTGGGAAAGATTGCAAGTTCCTTCGTAATTTTCTGACTACAAAGACAAGATGGACGGAAGAAAAAGGATTCACCTTCAGTTGTTCAGGTTGTTTTTGTCGTTCCGTTAAACTTGGTTGATTATCGTTCCGTTAAACTTGGTTGATTAAGCCTAGCAAACGCTGCCCCACAAAGCACAGGTGAAGTATTCAGACCACAACTATGTAGTCTTCATCCTTATCCATCCAGAAAAGGTACAGCAAAATTAGTGCTTAAATACATCACCATGTTTTTTCCAAGGAATTCTGGGGCTGAGACTCCCAAGAATACAACCGAGGTGAGCCTTCGGCAGAATCTTGCTCATCGGGCGATCTGCAGGCGTGGCCGTGATGTCTCTGACGTGGTTGGAAAACCTGTGAGATTTTTGATGCAGTTGGTCAGTGTTTCGCTTGAAAACGACCTCAAACGACCATGTTCAGGGCGAGCTGGGTCGCTGCCGCACGTCGGCCCACCTGGCGGTGGGCGCGGCAGAGCGGCTGGCCTCCGAGCGGAGGCGACGGAGCGGTGCTGGACATGAAACTACAGAGATTCGCCATGTGGCAGGTGGAGCTAGATGCATTCTTTCCTAGCCGATTGTGTAAGTTCCTGAGATGATCATTCACTTTGATCTTCAACTTTCCCTAGAGTAATTTCTGTGTGTGGACATTTCGATACATTTCGCAAAGCTGATATTTCCACCCATGCCCATGTCTCTCATTTCTCTTGGTCGTTCCGGAGGGGGCCTCTGACACCGACCAGGCAGCTGATGGCGAAGCTGGAGGAGCTGGAACGTGAGAGAAGGCCGACGCCAGCCACGACGGCCCAGGCGGAGAAGCCACGCGGTGCCCGGCCGTTGCAGGGCGGTGCCCAGACCACGGGTGATCCGATGTACCCCACAGCATGCTGTGGGCACCGGAGGGCCTTGGTAAGTATTGCCAGTGTTTTGGAGTGCCCAAACTAGCACGGTGCCGGAGAGTGGCCTTCACCTGGAAGAAACAGTCTCTATGGATTTGGCCAGTGAAGTGGGCCTGGGTGTCTTGATTCCGGGAGCCCCGAACCGAAGGGACGATACTATATACATAATTTGCATATATGTACATGTATACACCCCTTTTCTGAGATTCCTATAAGCGGTATAATGTCTCCGAGATTTGTGAAACTAGTGACTCTGCCAGGAAGCTCAAGCTGCGAAGGCGCCGTTTGTGTGGAGTCTGGTTGGATAGCAGCAGCTGCCAAAAGAGGGAAGATGATCCTTAACCACAAGAGAAACTTTGTCGATGGCCCACTAGGCAGAGCTACAAGATGTCCCCCTGCATAGAAATGGTAGCAGGGCGCAGAGTTCCGCACCCGAACCGAAGATCAAAGGCCTCAGAGGGCCGAGTCTTAGAGCTTCAAAAAATCCATTCTCAGAGAAGGATCATGATATTGTATCAGGCTTGGGTATTTGGATGTATTTGGTATATAAATACAACAAAAAACATATATATATATATTTATGCATAGAGAGAATCTTGGATCCAATCAACCATGGATTCTAGACCAGCTCGCAATACATCGGTTCTTGGCTGCATGTTCAAAGTGACGACATGCAAACACCTGTGGGCAGGTGGTCTTGGCGATCCAACTCCATGTTCAAATTTGGAAGAGCAAATTGAATGGCCAAGATACCTCCAGAAAATGCCTGCACTAGCCATGCCGGCTTTGCATCCGTTGTCCACATCCTTTTGATTTCCCTCCCGACCGGAGAGGCCTTGCGAGACATTCGGCTACATGCCGAACAGCAGCTCGCGTGGGTCTTGCAGCGTATGAGTGTCAGTCACAGCCACCAGGCAACGCTGAAACGCTCCGAAGTTGCAGAGGACGGATGTACAGTCTGACTCACTAACTTGGAAGCGGAAAGATTCCTGTTCGTACAGGAAAGTAGTCTTTCAAGGGGGACCACTTTTTTATGTTTGTTGGAGGGAGGGTAAATTACATGGAGGTGACATTTATTTGGTGATATCCATCCGCAGCATGGAGACAAGTCTGGCGCAGTCGCATTCTTTTGAGATGTGTCTTTTCCTTTCTCAAGGACTCTTTCTCTGCTATATAAATGCACAGAAGGAAGGAAGGAAGGAGGGAGGGAGGGAAGGAAGGAGGGAAGGAAGGAAGCAAGCAAGCAAGGCCAAGGAAGCAAGGAAGCAAGGAAGCAAGGAAGCAAGGAAGGCAGGAAGGCAGGAAGGCAGGAAGGCAGGAAGGCAGGAAGGCAGGCAGGAAGGCAGGAAGGCAGGAAGGCAGGAAGGCAGGAAGGCAGGAAGGCAGGAAGGCAGGAAGGGAGGAAGGCAGGAAGGCAGGAAGGCAGGAAGGAAGGAAGGAAGGAAGGACGGACTTGTTTCGCACAAAAGTTAGTTTTCTGCACCCACAATCTGAGCTCTTTGAATCGATACATGGGGCGTACCCACGGTAACGATAGGAACAGAGAAAATCGATTGTGCTTGCTTCTCGAATCAGGCACTCCGACTCCTACCTAAAGCCAAACTTAACACAAGGATTTTGTAGGGAGATTCCGCTAGCCGCCAGTCAGTCTCCTCCTGGACTTTTGTTATTGTTTTGCTTCTGGGCCAGATGCATGGGGAGGCTGGGGATGCCCAGCTCTGCAGTCCTGTTGACTTTTGTTTTGGTTCGTTTCTGATGGAGACGCGGAACCCTTTCCCCAACCCCTTCATTTTTGAATTAAGCCAAGAAACAATCCAAAGCGAAGCCACACCCAAGCTGCCCCCAACCCTGTTCAACCAAGCCGAGCCAAAACCGAACGAAAACCAAACCAAAGACACACCATTTTTTGGGGAGACCACCAAAAACCAAACAGTCCTCGTCCTCGCCAGGACACTTGCAAATAGCTCTCCTCCTTGCGCGCGAGCGCCTTTTGGATCAAATCCCTGGACACTTTTAGCCACCAGAACATCTCGCCAAAGCCAACCCAAAGCAACCAGATACTCCTGTAACACCATATCAAAACCCTACCAGAAAAAGTTAAGAAAGAACACAGCCTCCCCAAAACAGAAAATCATTCCTCAAAAAAGCATCAACCCAAGTCCGGCGCTTGTTCTGCCTGTTCTGCCTGACTGCGGAAGAAGTCCTGGAGCCTCCTGCTGCTGGAGCCTCCAAAAGACCGTAAGTGTTGTGGATGCCCTTTGCCAGGTGGTTTGGGGAATTTGTCTAAAACCTCCAGAATTGTTGCTGGTGTGACATATCGCGCCCAACATATCTTCCGCCAGGCAGAACTCCAAAAGCTCGGCAGTTGACACAGCTCCGCAGTTGACGGCAGCCAAAGTTAGCGCATGCTGAGATTGATTTTCCTCCTAATGTAGCCTTCAGCTTCAGAGCTCAGGATCTTGGTCGATCGAAGAGATTGAGGTTTTGACTTTGACCGGGCTCTTTTCACGCCCAATTCATGCAAGGCGGTGTGGAGGCCTTGGCAAATTATTCTGTTATATTCTGTTTAACAATAACCCAACTTTGGTCTGACCAAAGGATTCTGGGCATGAAGCTGAAGTGAGGCAGAGTATTTCACCCCAGCGTTTCACTGACAATTCTGCAATTCAATGCTCTGGAGCCTACAATCACCCTACAAACAAACAGTTTTCATCATTGATCGATTGTCCATGCACAGTTTGGTGGGAAGATCCCAAGTGAGTAACATCTTTGAACCCATGAACCGAGAATGCACTGGCGTTTCTTGGTGGATGCAGCTGCTTCTTGTGTCGAAACATCACGGTTGGTATGGTCTTTCTTTGACAAAGACAATCTGCTTTGTGCCGATGAGCACGCCTCTTCGGCCTGGTCTTATTCGAGAGGGTTCCGCTGACCAAATCCGCAGACTGTTCTGGGCGCAGTGTAGCGTGGAACCCTCGATTTGCATGATCTTTTCCACGCTTGTCTCATCCAAAGCTTGTCACAAGCACAGGTGGGCAAGTGTATGGCAGCTGAACAGGATGGATGATGGAAGACTTGTTCTGAAGACAAATTGATTTCGTGTCACGCTCGAAAAAATTGCTGCCGATCGTCTGCCGCTGCCCCGCAGACTCTGAGCACATGCAGCTGGTAATCCTCTGCAGCTTGTGCCGCTGCGCCCCAGTCTCATGGCCCCGGTTCACAACTTCAGTGCGGTGGGATGTGGAGTTGTGGCTCCAGTGGGTCTCTCACAGGTCCCAGAATGATCTGGGTGATGAGGCCTGGGGGACGGTAGACCGACCAGTCTAAAACTGGAGCAGACCGCCCAGCTCGCCGCGAAAAGGGGGGCATTCCACAGCTCACGAGCGACCGCTGCGGTGACGGTCATGTGACGGTCATGGGTCCCTCGCGGCGAATCTTGTGGGTGGGGAAAGAGGATGGCTCTGTTGCTGAAGGCTCTCGACATGTATGGCACTGGTCGGCATCCCTCTTCACCCTGCAGCCACCTTATTTTTCGAGGTTCGTCAGTCGTCACTCTCATGAAAGCACAAGGGAGTCGATGTGACGCTTCAGAATATGAGAAGATCTTGATTTGATGAGGCGTAATTTATATGATCATCATGGTCATCCAGTGTGAGTGGAACCATCAAAGCCATAACAAAACTCTAGACATGAAGTGCACAAAGCCTTTCTTTACCTGTCCAGTTAGAATGCTTGGCCGATACAATGCTGACTCCGCCCTCGCGTCATTTGAAGGTAATGCAACAAAACGTTGCAGAAAGCAAGGCAGTCGCGGATGTACGACGCGAGCAAGACTTTTCTGCTAGAGTAGCTGCCGACAGAGCAAACATGCTGGCACGAAAGCGACAAAAACTGCGAACTGCTCAAAGAGAACGAGATGCCTTTCTAGTTCGTGAATCTTGGGTCCTGCTGAGAAGGTCTTTTATACATATATATATATACATACATACATACATATCTATATATGTATATATATATACACATAAATAACAGTAAATAAATAAACACACATATATACATATATATATATACATATACAGACACACACACATATTTTGGTCAAGTTTGAATAGCTGTTCTAGGGTTTACAGAGATTTTGTTCTGTTGCGCAGGTTGGTTAGGAGGATTCAACCTTCCAGGTACGAGCATTGTTCGAGATGAGCCAACATCAGGGTCCGAAGGTGTCTGAGGGTGGAGAACCCCAGCGACTCCCTGAGCAACTCCCCGGGCCTCTGCAGCGAGTGCCTCTGGAGCGGAAGTTCGTCTCGAAGAGTCGCCACTGGAGTGAAGTGTCCACTGCAGCACCTTCGACCGTTGGAGCCGAAGACATCAAGGAGTCGAGGTCTCGTTGACTTCATTGTCTTGACTTGAAAGGGTCTGGCAAGAAAACACAAATCCACCCAGAAGCATAATAAGCTTAATTGATTTTGTTGGGCCAACTGGGCTTTTTAATGTTGGCATTTTCTCCCCCTTGGAGGAGCTTCCCAAGCCGAGGTTGGCTGAGAGCAACTCATTGGAGGAGCTGGAACAAGCGCTTGCAGATGCTCAGGTGAGTGATCTCTTGGTCTCTTCCAGTGATGAAAGTGCACCGTCCAGAGTGAGCCGGCGGAAGGTGAAGGATCCTTCTGAACGTGTGAGGAGAGGGCCCAGGGGGCTGTTGTGGTTGTGGGGCGATGAGATTTTTTAAGATGGAGAGGTCAGTTGAAGACCCACTGCTTCCATCATCTAAATGCCTCGTTGCGGATCGTTGCAGTGGATTTTGCTTGAAAGGCGGCAGGCTTCACCCGGTGGCTCTCAAGCAAAAGATGCGCTTACGTGTCAAAGGTATTTTTGACCTCAAGCATCCGGAGTGTGTGTGTCAAAGCCTTCAGGGATGTAAGTTTTTCCTCCAAACAGTTTACTGTTGGGGCTCTCTCTGAGGGAAAAGCATACACAGTTTTATTTTGTTTGCATAACTGTTATTTGAAGATGTCTTCGTTTTTTACCAACCAATTTTTCCGACAGATGACCTCGTTTTAAGCTCATCCACAGGTATCCGAATTCTTCGTGTTCTCTTCGCCGTTGCTTTGGCTAGGAGATCTGAACATCAACCAGTAGCGGCGTCTGTGGCCAGTGGCTACAGCGAAGCGTCACTTGTTTGCACGCTGAAAGGAATAGACCATTGCACCCTAGGAACAGAGGTAATTTGCTTGCTCAAAGGATCCTTGTTACTTCCTGCCGGAAATCCGTCCTTCTTGGGACTTAATCTTTGAGAACATTCTTTCTGCCGTGCAATTTCTCTCCTTTTAAGTTTTCCCACCAAAAAGGGTAATTGCAAGATATTGCAAGTATATTTGGTTGGTGTGCTGGAGGGGGCTTGCAATGGAAGACAGCTTCCAGACTGCACATCAGTCGGCTCACCTTGCTCCTCAGGCTTTCAGGAAAAAGAACCAAGCCGAAGAGGCAGGGTGGACCAACATGGTAAAAACCACCATGGAAGATTCGCATAGAAAGACTCAGCTGCTGTTCCCGATTTTCCCACCTGCTGACCATGCGTCCAGTGTGAAACTTCCTGGGTGGAATGATAAAAGCTTGAAGACTGTTGAAGATTGGAGTGAACGGAACTTTGCTGGAGTGAAGAGAGGAACTCAACAAGCGCTCTATCGGCCATAAAAGCTGTTGGACCCTTGGCCAACCTTTTGGCCATACTCAAATGGTGACGTCACGTGCCCTTTCCGCATCCCGGCGGACGCTGGCAGGACGGTCGCTCCAAGCGGTGCGTTGAGGTCCATAGCGAGAGAGGAAGAGGTGAGAACCGGTCGTTGGGAGGGGGTCATCACCTAAATGAAAAGCTGTTTTTAAGACCAGCATCTTTTCATGGTGTTTAAGACCCGGACACAGCTGTTTTTGGAATCTTTTCATCAACGGAGCAGTGGTTTGGTCTTCCACTTCAAAGCCGAGCAGAGCATGTACAGCCCTGTAAGGCCTTGCAAAAGAGCTTGCTGAGGATGGATTTTGAGGCAGGTTGGCAGTTGACATGAGCAAGACTTTGAGAGCTGTTAAGTCCTTAGTCGAACATGACTTTATTTGTGAGCTCCTAGCTTGTCAGTTTGTTCAGTGCCCCCCCAGTACCACAGTTTGTCAGATTGTTCTGCTTGGATGGAACGACCTTATCCTTCGTCTTTCACCCACGCAGAAGCTGCGGACCCGACACCGCGCGGGTCCCGGCGGGTCCTTCGGAAGTATCTGACGTGAGTCCCGTCCCAGGAGATGAAGCGGCAGTTCAGTGGTCAAAAGCCACTCTGGCGTGAGGACCAGGTGCACTCCACGAGGGTGGGGCAGTATTCTGATGAGGAAGAAGGGACGATTTTGTGTTATGTCGGTGTTAGACTAGAATTCTCACTGAATAAGTAGATTCTTCTGGATGGACGCATCTGAGAGCTACAAAGCCTGCTTCAATCTCTCTCGCTCTCGCTCTCTCGCTCTCTCGCTCTCTCGCTCTCTCGCTCTCTCGCTCTCTCGCTCTCTCTCTCTCTCTCTCTTTGCCCTCTATAATCCTCACCTACATATCATGTCTCTTTACAGATGCTTTGAGGTTCGAGTGTTCAACCCATGCGAACATCGCAGGCCTTGGGGGAGAGCTTCAAGATGGATCCTTACCGAGAGAGCAAGTTGGAGGCCATCCGACTTGACTTTCAGAGGATGCCTATGATTGGTCTCGGAGTCATTAACATGGTTTTAGTCTTGCCGCATGTGCACTTGGATACTGAAATGAAAGGCCAAGAAACACCATTTCCCGCATGGTATATATACACAGTTAAAAAGAAGAAGGGGCCCCATAGCTTGGGGGGCGGTTTGCAGCTAAAGGGATTCCATGAACACTGGCAGGGAATGATTGGAGGTTCATACTCATACTCCCTGTTACCCAAGGAGTAAGGGGCTCACCAATGCTTCACCAGAAGCTCCCGAAATCTTTCCCCACTCTGTTCACTCGCTGATCTGCTCCACCGTTGTACTTGGACGATAGATGAAAGCTTTCTCGGTCCGAACGCGGAGTCGTGGCAAACAGGCAGGTTTTGGTTCCCACGGCATTCGAGGCCTCCCTACAGCGCCTCGATGCGGCCTTCGGGACCCTTCAGGAGCAGCACGAGGCATTCGGTGTCAGCGCGTTTTTGGGTACCGGGGTTTGATGCTGCCTCGCAGGTGTATGTGGCAAAAGTTGGGGAAAGAGTTCCTTTTTGAATGTGGTGAATGGGCACAAAAAGTCGTTGCTTCATCTTGCCTTCTCCAGACTGGAACAATCTCCAGCTGTCTCCCCTGAACAAGGGCAGCCGCAGCAGTTTTGATGCGAAGAGCTTTGGGAAGTAACAGGTGTAATTTATGGAGGTATAGGTGCTCCTCTTCTGTGGAATACCTGAAAATGCCTCCATCAGAGAAGCATGACAATGGAAGATTGCCGCGGTGTATGAGACAGCGGTCTTCTTTGGAAGCATCTTCCACTTCATTCACGGCATTTATGCTACTAGTAGCAAGGACGCTACTAGGGGCTCCTGGCCGTACTACTAGGAACAAGAAGCTACTAGGAGCAAAGGGCATCGCTACTAGGAGCACGGACGCTACTTTGACAGCAAATCTGAGCCACGCGGGTCGCAACGTGGGGTCCAGGGTCGGTCATCATCGCCCAAGTCAGGTGAGGATGAAGAAGCAGGCCGCCCTCGGCCGCCCTCGGGGTGCCCCTAGCGCCATCCCTCATCCCAGGCGGGCACCGTTTAAGTGAACTGCCACGGTCTCAAATTCCCATGGCGCCAGATCCAGAGACATGGATTTCTTTTTTTAAAGACAGGCATGAGACAGACAAAACCCGAGCGGACAGCCGAACCCGGGCGGAGCAGGAGCCGTCCCCGCAGCTCCGTCGGCCGCACCTACTCCGGTGGACGAACAGCGCTGGGAGCGCGTGCGCAAGGCTCAGAGGCCAGGGAAGGAGGGGAGGTCGATTAATTTGGGCTGGAAATGGGAAGAAGGTTTTTGGTGAGTTACTTTATATGATGGCTAGAAGCACTGGCCGAAGATTGAAGCTGTCAATGTGTTGCCTTGAGGCATGTGGGAGGTGCTAGTTGCTAGTATCAGGATTGAGAACGGATTACTCAGAGAACACCTTGAAAGACTGGACACGAGTTTCAGTTTCACTGCGGGAGAACACAAACTTCAGATGGCTTTTGGCTGTTGTGATGCCAATCACTCTGGTCAGATGGGAGTCCAGATTTCTCTGATCCTATCATCGCCCTACCAATCTCTGGATCTTCAAGGTGTCGGTGTGATACCCAAGCAGGTGCCAACCATCCACGCCGTTGCACAACCATGCAAGGCCTTTGCGTGCAGTGTGCGTTGCGCGATGGTGCTGGAATATTAGCCTTAAAAGTTTGTTTCAAACATAGGGGGTGCTTTCAGACTTGGACGTAGCGCTTTTGAAGAGGAACGCATGCAAGTACAAGCACCATTTCTGCTGCTTTGTTTCCTTTTGGTGGGGGGCATGTTTGGACTTCAGAATCAGGGTGAAAGCATTTGGTTGGCCCCGATTTGACTGCCTAGATACCCTAGATCGCCGGTGAACTTGTTTTGGGATTTGATCAACCACACATTATTGGTTGGCAAATCTGACAGAAACAAACGAGAAAATGATAGGTGGAATGTGAGAAAAGGTCTCTATATTTTATACGTTCATGCTGAAGCATAAAACGTTCCACGCTGTTTTACAACAAAGCCCACTTTTGCCAAACTCTTTAGACGCCGTCGACCACCGGGCCAGGGCCGCGAGGTCGGGTGTGGAAAGAACAAGGCAGCCGATGAAGAAACACCGGCATGGCGGATTGATGCCGATCGTTGCGGATTGCATTCCAAAGCGTAGTCATGTCACAAGAGCATGGTTCTTTTCTTGTACAGCTTTGCATCGAGGAGATGCTTGCATGCGTTTGGTCAGGCAATATTTGTTCACGTCCATGCTATTGAGCTGCACGAATCATGTGCATATTGGCAAGTCTGCATGCTTCCCACTGATTGCCTGAGCATTCCCCGTTGGGGGTACATTTATGCATGACGGGAGAGCGTTTTGCTTCTCCATGTATGGATGTTGATGTCGGACTGTTTGTCTGCACGCCGCGTTACAGAAGGCCAGAGATGTTCATGATGGCTCACGTGCAATGCCTGGGAGATGTTAATTTCTGGTTGTTCACTTTAGCATGACTTGCCAACACAACACATCCTTTTCCACTCTGACTTAAACTGGGGCAGCTGCAAAATTCATCGCACGATAGAAGTGCGAATTTCAGAGCCAGAAGGGGAGAGAGAGAGAGAGATAGGGCCAGTATGTCAAAGCGCGTTGCTTCACCCACCTCTGCACATCACATGTCTTTGCTCCTTCGCAGAACAGTACGCTTTGCTCGATCGAGTGAATGAAAGGAGCACAAGATCGAAAGGAGCAAAGGAAACAATCACTCCCCTTAAGCCACTTAAAACCCTCACTCTGTCTCGCAGTTCCTTTGGTCATTCCTTTGGAGAAGAAGCACCCAAATTGCATTCCTTCAAACCATGATGGACCTCAAACCATTCCAGCGGAGCCGGGCCATGTGACATGGCTGAGCCGGCTGGAGAACCAACGCCGGTGCGGCTGCTTAAGAAGCAGAGGACAACGGCTGGAACTTCCACCATCACATGGCCCATCACATGGGCAGAGGACCTGAACGGAGGATTCTCTGCAAGGTTTGGGAGTTCTGCGAGGCTGGTGGCTATGGCCCACATTTTGGGAGTCACAGCCACATGTTGTTTTGCGGGTCACGGTCATAGCCATAGCTCACCTTGAGCCAATTCGCCGAGGCACAAGGAGCTCAGTTGCTGCTGCGGACTGCAGCAGAGGTATCAGACTCATCAGACGGGTGGTGATTTTATGTGAAAAGGATTCAGCAAGGGAAATGATCAATTCCACCTTTGTGCAGACATATTCAGGTGGCTTAGGTCCTTTAAGGACCAGTGTATTCAGTCTTGTTCCATCTTGTAGAAGTCTCGCTACTGTAGCCTGGTCAGTCTCTCACAGCTTTGGTATGGACGGATTCAGGACGCCGACTGCGGTTTCATTCCAAGACTAAGACCGAGGCATGTTTGCCTGCGTTGCGTGCACAAATCGAAGCCAGTGTCTCGAGCATGTGTGCTGTCCGGGTGCAAAACGCTGTTGAAACAGTCCTAGGAGCACGTGATTTAGATCGGTTTGAGAGGAGTTCAATGTGATGAATTTCAGCAAGCTTGAAGCAGATATTTGCGATCTATGCAGGGTTGCAGATCTGTTCTGTGACGTAGCGAATCTGTGACAGAACTGTCCTTTGACCTGCTGAGGCCACGGACCTCTTACCCCAACAGGCACTTGGAGCCTTGAGCTTCTGCTGTGAGGCGGTCAACATGTGTGGGACAAATCAGTCTGTCCAGGTTGGGGGTTGCTCTGTGTAACGAGTCGGACCTGCCCCCAGTCGGAGGACTTTCAGAACTCCCAGACTTTCCCAACCATGGCCATGGTTGGCGAGCCGATCTTTTTGCTGACCTCACTGAAGCCGAGACACTGAATCCGGCAGGTCTTGAACCGAGTGTTGGTGAACTTGGATGAGCCAAGCTTCGCCAAGTTCAGCCGCTTGAAGGCCCAGTCTTCGGGTGAGTCGTGTGTTTAACGGTTTGTTCCCAAAGCATCCGCGTTTGGTGCTCTTTTTTGTTGCAGTATATAACAGACAAGCATGGTGAAACCAAAACTTTTGTGTCTCAAAAAAGGGCATCCGGCATCCGCCAGCAATCCAGAAGTCCAAAATGGTAAGAGTCAAAAGGACACAACTTAGCTGTAGCCTACTTTTTGGAACACCCACCTGTGGGGCGTTTGTGTTCAGGTCTCTGCGCTGCGGAAGCGCCTGCCCCGGAGGCCGCGTGGGTTCCCGTGCGCACAGCTGCGAGAGAATCAGTTGAAGCAGTGAAAACAGTCTCAGAGGCGTCACGGAATCTATGAGTGCCTTGTCTTGGCGACGGAATCAATTGAAGTTTGTCAAAATCCGATTCCGTTCTTGCATTTGATTCGCTCGCAGAAATTCCTATTGTTCAGTCCGAGAGGGTCATTTAGTCTTGGCCGATTTTCAGCCTTGAAGGAATGATGACGATGACGTTTTTCTTAAACAATCGTTGAGAATTCTGAAGGGAGGACTTTGAAACGCTGGAAGCACGTGGAGTCGGGGCTCGGAGATCGCTCGGAGATCGACTCCCTGGAGTTTTCCACGTCTTCCACGTCTCAACTTGCTATACCCTCCATGCAGGGTTATATAGGTGGTTGCCTACGGGCTAGCCAAGGCTAGCACCTTGCCAACCCCTGCACAACAGCTGCTGCCTGCATGACTTGAGATATCAGGGCTTTGACTCGAGGTCCATGACTTGTTTTCATGACAGAACAGTGGCAAAGACTCCTTCGCCCGATCCGAGACTCTGAAATACCCAGGAAGACAAGAGGTGGTAGACCTGCAGGAAAGAATTGCACCCCTCTGTTTTTGTGCACATTTGCACGACAGAGTCTCCTCCTTCCATTTGTCTGAAGCTTTCGTTGGTAGCCCTGCCGCCTCTATGCTGCAGGCCTGAACTGGCAGAGGCGGTGCTGTGCTCAGGTGGATTCCAGGAGGCCTTTCTCCACGAATGTCGTGTTGGCTGATCGACCGTAGTTCTTATGTTTGATCAAAGGAAGTTTAGTGTACGAAACTTCCGTGTTACATTCAAGAACTGTTCATACACCACTCATCATACACCACTCATCATACACCACTCATCAATACACCACTCATCATACACCACTCATCATACACCACTCATCATACACCACTCATCATACACCACTCATCATACACCACTCATCATACACCACCCATCAGACACCACTCATCATACACCACTCATCATGCACCACTCATCATACACCACTCATCAGACACCACTCATCATACACCACTCATCATCCAGCTAGCTCTAGCTCCAGTTAGCATCATGTGCAGATTTCGTGGCAGGCACAGCACTTTGTGAACCTCCATGTGCAGATTTCGTGGCAGGCACAGCACTTTGTGAAGCTTGAGGTGCAGATTTCGTGGCAGGCGCAATACAAAATACATTTTCGAGAGATAGCGGACGCACGAAATGCTGTATAAGGGTGGCTCCGAAGCTGGCCAGTCAAGCTTTGCGGAACGATGTGTGCGAGACGGTCTCGGGTCATGGTCGGATCATGGTCGGATCATGGTCG